CTCGCCAGTAAAGGCCTTAAAAATGAAAGAATAATGACATGGCCTCCTTCCTCACCCGACCTAAACTCTATTGAGAACTTGTGGGCCCTTCTTAAACAGGAAATTTACAGTGAAGGAAAACAACACACCTCTCTGAACAGTGTCTGGGAGGCTTTGGTTGCTGCAACACAAAAAGTTGATCATCAACAGATCAAGAAACTGAAAAACTCCATGAATGGAAGGCCTTTGACTGTTATTGAAAAGAAGGGTAGTTACACTGGTCACTGATTTTTTTTTTTGAAATTTCAAAAGTTTTTATTTGTAAATTTTGAGTTGCTTGTTTATCATTCTCACTTTAACAAGTGAAAATAAACAAGTGAGATGGGAAAATTTTTCATTTTTAATTTAGTTGCATACTAATTCTGCACACTAATTGTACACACATAGATATTCTCCTAAGAAAGCCAAAATCTCACTTTTACTCCCTTAAATATTCAGGTTTGAGGTTTATTAACATTTTGGACTGACCGAGAGCACTGCAGTTGTTCAAAAATAAACTTTATCCTCAAAAATACAACTTGCCTAATAATTGTGCACACAGTGTATTTTGTATGATACCAGTATCCAGACTTAAATCCCCTTTTCTTTCTACTTTTATTGTGACAATATATTTGTTTTGAACCAGACATCTAAACACTTAACCCTAACTATGGAGACAGAAGGATCAAGTTTTAGTGGGTAAACCACCCACTGACCAAAGACAAAAGTTAATAAAAATATTGTCCCAAATCTCCAAAGTCTTCTCAAAGGTATGAGACGTAGAACTAAAATTCTTTAGTGCAGTGGAAAAAGTGCAATAGGAAGATAAATATGAAGAATAATATATATATATTGATATAAGTAAATATATATTTTGGGCATCAGCCAGATATCACATCAATTATAGCATTCTAACATTTAAGTCTAATTACATTATTTTAAGTTTGCATGGATAAATTGCATGATGCTATTCATGATGCTGTCGGCTGTGGTGAGCAGTCTGTTGCTGAGCTGAGGAGATTTTATGTTTGTTTTTGTTTTTTTTCATACTAAAAGTTCAGCTGCATTTTTAACCCAACTCTTAGTTGGGTTTTAGCTTTGGTGCTCATGTCTTAGTGTTGTGTCGTTCGTGAATGATTCGTTTAAAAGAACTGAATATTTTAAGTGAACACACTGAACTGAATCTCATCCACAAGTGATTTTTTCGTTTCTCACTTCAGTTGAACTGTCAGCATAGCTGGGCAGATAACTGTAATAATCGTTCACTTGTGGATAAAAGCACCAAAATTGGCACACATACTCCTTAAAAGTTGCTCTTTTGATATTTCTGTCTGGCCAAATGAAAATTCAAGATGGCGGCCATTTTTCATGATGGCCACCATTGAAAATACAGTAATATTGCATTTTGCAATAAAATTCCATAGACCTGTCCTATTTGGATGAACTTGGTGTCATATCATAAATTTTCCACTATGCGGAATCCAAATTTGGACCCATGGACTTACTTACTGGCTTCCTTGTACCATATTTCAGTCCCGGAATCCTAATATTCTGATCCTAATTAGGTCTACATCATGTGAGACTCGAGTAAAATGGTTGGTAACCTATATCTTAGTGTTGTTAGAGGTCTAGTGTGTGCTGCACATGTGTGTGTGTGTGTGTGTGTGTGTGTGTGTGTGGGGGGGGGGGGGGGGTTGCAAGGAGGGCTAAAATGGGTGGTAACACCATGGGATCACTCTTGTCTGGTCTCTATCCTTTGAGCTGTTTGGCGTGGGTGACCCTGCCAGGAGTACAATTCTCCAGCCGGCATAGCTCTAGAGGTCATGGAGACACACAAACTGCCCCACCACGATAAGGTGGTGATCCCACCGAGGCAGGTTTTTTTTTTTTTTTTTTACATGTAGGCTGGCTGGATGAGTAGGCTTTTACTACAGTGTTTCTAAACCTCACACCTGCAGCTGCACAGTGCCGTGCAGGTCAGACCAAAGCAGTAGCATTTGCATCGACCGCAGCATTCCGACTTGCATCCACACTTGGTCAGCTGCTGGCAACTCTCTGCAATGGGTGGGAGCTCTGTCCAAACAATCTGCCACAGATGTCCTTTCTTGGTCCAGCCCCAGTTGGCAGGATAATGTGTTTCTGGTTGACATACTATTGACTAGGCCTGTCGCGATAGTCAATAAATCGCCTAATCGCTCGGTAAATAAAAACGAGGTCGGTAATTTTGCCAGCCTCGATAATTAACGTGCGTTTGTTTTCCTCCTCTCTCGTCTCTCACTACCAAACACGCTGGATGAGAGAAGAGGTCTCACTGTTGTGTCTGTGTGTGTGCACACATGCACACACACAGACTTACTGACACAGTGCGGAGCAAACGCAATGAATGATGAAACGAAAGCTTTGGTCTCTAATCCCAACGCAACAGCCCAAGAGTGGGAACATTTCAGTTTCAAATAAAATGAAAGAGGTGAGCCTACGAACATGGAGGATATGTCGCATTTGTTCAAAGGTTTTGGTGACAAAGAAGGGTAATACGACGAACATGCATGCGCACCTCAAGCACAATCATCCGCGGGGATGATTGTGCTTGAGGTGCGCATGCATGTTCTTTGTTGACCTGTTGAGGAATAGCACCCAAAGCTAATTATTTAGTGCAATTTTGTTTTCAGACTCGAGACTCCACTTTATTTATTGTTATAGTTAAGTGTGCAGTGAAGTTTTTGTTCCGTACCAGAGACAAGGTCTGTTTATTATATTATACCATATACCACCATATATTGTTATTATATTTGTTCATCCTAGTTTAAAGTTCTTAATCTTGAGCAATTAAAGTGTATTGCTTTTCACATGGTGTACTCGCATTATTATGCCATATATTATCATCATCTATAATTTAAAAAACGGTGTCAATAATATCGTTTATCGGCAATGATTTTTAGCACAATTATCGTCCAGCAAAATTTGTTATCGTGACAGGCCTACTATTGACTGACTCCAGATGCAGCCCGCTTGGTAGGATGCCCGCATGACATGTTGCTTAAGTGCTTATCGAGTTGGAGGAATGGCTTCGTACGGCCCCTGCTTCCGAGCAAACATGTCCAACCTTGCATTGTTGACACCTTCAGCTGTGCTGGATCTGTCGTACAACATGACCACAAACTTCACCAGGGTTTTCAGGTCTTCATCATCCAATGCAGGTGGGTAATGGCTGAGTTTGCTGAAGACACTGGAAGCCTCATTACAAACATTCAAGGTTTGCCAAGCAGACTTCTTCCCCTTGCCACGGAATGCTGAGACAACATCGCAACCAGTGAATGCATGGAAGAAGAGCATCCCTTTGCTCTTTTCTGCAAGAGTGCCACACAGGTCATGAACAGGAATCCATTTCAGGTTCTGTCTTTGGCCAAAGGCAACCCACAACTGCTGTAGACCCAGGTTCTGAAGTGCCTGCAGAACACTCACTGCGATGACAACAACATCTGTGTCGTTGGCTTTGACCATGATGACCTTGCTGCCTGCTTCTGTGGCATGCCTGGCATGCACAAAGATCCGATTGTCAGCTTCTTCATGACTGCATGATGCCACCCCAGCCAGATTAATCGTACTGTTGCTGATAACATCATCTTCCTTGGCCACAATGACCACATTTGGTGAGGCCACACATTCTATCTGATCAGCCTCTCTTTCTCTCTCTCACTCTCTCTCTCTCTCTCTTACACACACACACACACACACTAAACCTCTAACAACACTAAGATATAGGTTACCAACCATTTTACCCAAGTCGGACATAATGTAAACCTCATAAATACCAGAATCTTAGGATTCCGGGACTGAAATATGGTACAAGGAAGCCAGTAAGTAAGTCCATGGGTCCAAATTTGGATTCTGCATAGTGGAAAATGTATGATTTGACACCAAGATCATCCAAATAGGACAAGTCTATGGGATTTTATTGCAAAATGCAATATTACTGTATTTTCAATGGTGGCCATCTTGAAAAATGGCCGCCATCTTGAATTTTCATTTGCCCAGATGGAAATATCAAAAGAGCAACTCCTAAGGAGTATGTGTGCCAATTTTGGTGCTTTTATCCGCAAGTGAACGATTCTCCTGTAATATGCTATTATCCGCCCCACTAGCAGCACAGCTGCCACAGCACGCAGCATTGCTGGGCGAGCGAGGTAACACACGCGCCAACGCCTGAATCACTTGATGAATCATTTTTATTTGAGGGACACTCTTTTATGGCGACTGTTGTCCCCCAATGTTTTAACAGGTTTAGTTCCCAATTAAACAGACTTAAAAGGGTATGGCTGGCTGTAATGAGAGGAGAGTGAGACTCACCAGCTGTAGCAAGCTCTTGACAGGAGCAATGGAGGGAGATAGGGGTGTGTTGTGTTCAAGTGTACCTCGGACAAAAAACTGTAAAACTGTCTAAGGTAACCCAACAAAGAAAACCCATGACATGACAAAACCTCTTTTATCTTGTGATTCTTTAATGCAGTTTTTACTGGATGTAGAGCCTCGTAACAACACAGGAAAATGACTCAGAAATATATTAGCTTTACAAAAATCAACATTGTGTTCTTTTATTATCTGTACCCGTGGATTACTGAAGAACTTTTGAGTTTATGTTATTTCATATCTTTTGTTGTTTCAAAGCAAAACTGCAAACTCTGAAATAACCCATAAAGCTACAGCAAAAGTTGTCAGGCCAGAAAGGTTTAATGTTTATGCTTAAAGATACAAAGAAGGATTTTATTTAGTTATACTGGAGCCTTGGTTTAATAACACATACGTCAAGCTTTCAGTGAAACTGTTCTAGTGAACTGTTCAGTGATAACCCATGCAGTCCAAATGATTGACAAACACACTTTAGTCTGGTAAGATTTGCTATTATTAGATTGCAGAATACATTTCAGGAGGGTCAAATGAAATTCATGCAGAAATTCAGTGAAGAATTTTCTTTGCACTCAATTTCAAGAGTCAGCAGAGCTCCAGCTTAAAACATCATCTTTGAACAACACCAGGTTGCCTTCGTCGGTCAGCTCAAAACGGCACTTATAATTAGCACCATTAACATATGTGTTTGTGCTCCACTTGGGTGTATTACATTTGTCGTATAAGACCACGTTTCCGTCAGTCTGCACAGCCAGACGGTAGCCATCTGATCCACAAGTTTTTGCTTCCCACGTCTCCTTCCAGCCGGAAATCACAAAATTACCGTCGCTCTGCACACAAGATTAGAGACAACCATCAGTCAGTAAAATGTGCATTTCCATCACCAAAATAGAAACCTGCAAAGTCCTGATTTACTTACCTTCAAAGTAGCCTTCCACAGCCCATTTTTAGACACCAGATCATCTCCGACGTGGAGTATCTCATTTGTTTTAACTGAGGTTGTAATCATGGTTCTGAAACAAAAAGGAAACAAGCAGATTTAATGTAGCATCTGATGAAAACACTAAAACTGCAATCACACCATGTTGATGATAAACAGATCATTCTTTGTTGCCTGTTGATGAGTGATCTAATACATTCATAACTGTGCAGTACACCTCACAAATGGCTTTAAAAAAGAAGTGCAAAAGTACTTACAAGCTTTGATTGATGATACCAGTCCTGTAGAAAGCAACTAAAAGTGGTAAAAGTCACTACAGGCGACTCCTTTATATATTCTTTCCATGGGGTGGAGAGAAAGAGGATTGGCATGCCCTCTTTACCACATAATGAAAAAAATGAAATTCTCTGGAAGTCAGACAATGGAGGTGTTGCTGCTGACACGATAAAGAAAAAAAACAAACAGACAAAGCACCTGAAAACCTACAAGTATTTTCACAGGTCCAGTCAGATAATTTCAACTGTTGTGAAAACAGACTGAATCATTGCTGGGTATCATTTCTTCATCTGATTTCAAGTTTTAAGTATTATTTTTATTTTCGTTGATATGAAACGGCATCTTCTTAAGTAAAGGTAGCCTGAATCCACTGTATTATCTGCACCTGAAATAGTATCTTATTGCTACAAAACACAAAAGCACAGCTACAAAACTAACTCTTGACATCAATTTTAATTTGTTGAATTGAAGTAACTCTGAGAGCCATGGTGAGACACAACCATTGTCTCAGAAGCCAGTGGAGAAAAGAAAACATGTTTTTCATCGACTTGACTTGAGTTCCTGATTATTCGTGCAGCTGTCTCTTCCTTCCTGCTGTTTCTTCCAACTCCTGGTGACACACACTCACAACAACTTAGGAAAATTACCTCAAATGAAGGGATGCACAGTAGTGGATTTTTTTTCAAATATCCAATGAGCCAGTGTTTTCAAACTTATTTTGTGTGATACCAGTATCCATACTTAAATCCCCTTTTCTTTCTACTTTTATTGTGACAATATATTTGTTTTGAACCAGACATCTGAACCTTTAACCCTTAATACGGAGACAGAAGGATAAAGTTTTCAGCAGGTAAACCACCCACTGACCAAAGACAAAAGTTAATAAAAATATTGACCCAAATCTCCAAAGTCTTCTCAAAGGTATGAGACGTAGAACTATTTTACCAGCGCAAACTGGACCATCAGGACAAACAGTTGAGGGAATGCAGGTATAGCAACATATCTGAAGTGTCTTAAAGTTATATCCACAGACCCTGACAAGTCGGGGATTATATCCCATACATGTAAAGTATTGAGCTGGATAGAAACTCTCATCAATTAGAGAACCAAGGTCACAGTGTAACCCTATAATATAGTTATTCATATTGATGAAGAATGACAAATGAAGACACTCCCTGACTTTTTAACATGATCTGCGAATGTTTTTAACATTACGATGAAATTACTCATTTAATGAAGGCTTATATTTCTTAACCCCTGAAAGAGTGCCTTCAGTTTATAACCTTTTTAGACATGTTGACAACCTTAAGGTGTGTTTCTTTTATGAACACTTTTACTTAGTCCCTCAACATGAACATCCTAACAACTGCTTGTTTGATTAGTCAACATTTTGATGTGAAGTGTTTTGGTGACATGGGAACCAAAACCACAGTAACCGTTTGACATTTCACTCATGCCTCAAGGGGATTCCAGCTCATAATTTCTAAATATACATAATTAATAAATGCCCTTTGAATGATCCTGTTATCAGTCGGGGTTGGTTAAAATGTTGCAATAATTTCCCTTTGAGAATCAATAAGATCTTCTTCTTTTTCTTAAGAAAACCGTTTCAAGGTGTGTCCGTGGGAAGTTTGACTCCATGTGCCAATGAAGGATTAAAAATGTCACGAACACCTCACCAGCAAGGCGTCTGTGTGGCATCCTGGTTAGATTCCCAGGTAACCTCATCTGACTCCTTTCAATGTAGTAGAGAAGCAGCTCTACCCCAAGCCCTTCTCTGCTTCATACCCTGTCTCTAAGGCCCAGCCACCCTGCAGAGAAAACTCATTTCGGCCACTTGTACCTGTGATTTTGTTCTTTTGGTCACTACCCACAGCTCATGACCATAGGTGTGGGTAGGAATGTAGATCCACTGGTACGGCAAGAGCTTTACCTTTCGGCTCAGCTCAGTCTTTACCACAACAGATCAGTGCAGCGTCCACATCCCTGCTGACACCGCACCAATCCACCTGTCCATCTCCTACTCCATTCTTAGCTGACTCATTTAGAAGATGACCTCGGTGCAAAAGTGCAGAAATGAACTACACGAAGACAGAATCAAGCTGGCAGCCTCTCGGCGGGGTTTTTATTCCGATCACAGCATCGAACAATAGCTCATGAGCAATCGAACAGACAGAACCAACAAACAGCCCATCCACATATCTTTTATAGTCCTCCATTGACGTCAGGGACCTTAGTTTTAGCCAAATGTGCGTGCGAAAGTCCCCTTCGTGACTTTCTCTGCCACTATCTTTTGGAGCCAGATTTCCTGTTATTGCAATTAAGCTACCATGGGAGAGGGTCACCATGACCTGATATGAAGTTTATCCCAATCTGACCACTCCACCCATATCCTGTTCTCTTGCCTCATGGTAACCTCCAAAACATCCAAACATATCTGTTATTTTCCCCCACATATCCCCCCTTTGAATCTTTTCAAGATTAACCAAGTTCACTGACGCCGTTGGAGATTCACACTTATCTTGTCTTAGCCTTAGTTACGTTACATGAATGAGTTATGACAACGTTATGTGATATGGTACTAATTGATTGATTACAGATGCATATGTATGTTTTCAAACCAATCCAACTCATGCTTGTGATCACGAATGTTACATTTTCACAAATACAACACTTAGATCCCTCGGTTCACATCTGGCAGGGGCGAAAACCTGCTGGCTGCTTTGAGCAGGAAATTCCCCTGCGGCCCCTCCCGCTGGCGACCTTTACCGTGAACCTTCTAAATCTAACAGCTTTTCACTGACCCACTCTACATGACAATCAACCACATGTTTTATTTTGCTCAACAAATGATTAACCATTCCCTTTACCCGTTTCCATATACCTGGACTGAGTATGTGTAAATGATGTGAGTATGCAGAACACACATGGATAACAACAGAATGTATGTGTATTGATATGATAGTCCATTCGCTCCGTCGTCCCATTCGCTTTTCCTTTTGCTTGCTCGCTGCTGCTGCACCTCTGCTTCTTGTTTACCTTACACTTGACTCAGTTCGTCCTCATCGGAGTCACCCACACAGGCAGGGTTTGGGTATAAGTCCGTATAGTCCCCATTTCCTGCCCTGCTGTCGTTCAAACAGAGTTGTGCCATTTGGGACGGCGTCAGCAAGTCCAACATTTGAGCTTTTTGGAGACCAGTCGCCACAGTCACCTGTCTGCCCAGAGCCCGCAGACACTGCCTCCTCAGGATGATGCAACATGTCAAAAAGGAAATTAGAATTAGGACTGCTAATGCACTGAGTCCTATCTTAGCCCAAACGGCTCCCCATTTTCCTAAAATTTGGTCTAACCAATCCCATGACAGTCCCCCCTTGCCCGCACTCTCCCTGAGCTCAACTCTGAGTTCTGTAAGCTTCCCCGTTGCCACAGAAAATATACCATCAGGGGCTGTGTTAGTTGGAATAAAGGTACAACAATGTTTCCCGAACATGTGACATACTCCTCCCCTATCCGCTGTCAGCCAATTCAAAACCTGTCTATTTTGTTGGGCCATTATACTTGCTGCGTGTAATTGAATACCGAGAGCGCTCAGGATTTCAGACGTCGCATTAACAAACCTCTGTTGGTTGTAATAAATGCAATTTATCCATTGGACATTTTTTCGTGGTGATCCAGGGGAGAATCGACTCTAGACCTACTCTAATCTCATCCTGAGCTTTAAACTCCTCTGGAATTCCTATTGGCACCCCTATACTATTGATGTACACCTTTTCGTCAATCTGCCTTTTATGGCGGCTCAATTTGGCTGTTTCTTCCCAGATTCTAAGGATCTCCTCGACGCCGTCATACAACACGACAACTGACACTTTCATTCGCACTAATGTACAGAGCCCAATCCATTTTGGTGGAAGTGTGTTTCGCACAATGTTGTCTCCACACATCCAGTAACTGCCAGCTACTGCAACAGTTTGACTTGCGAAAGAAATGCATATTCGGTCTGGTCATAGTTATGTTTTCACATGTTCGATCTAACGTTTGCTCTGGATTTTCAAACCAAACAGGTCTAGTTATAAACGGTTCGCTCATATTAGCTTCAGGAAACCATGACAATACCCACGTAATTTTACAGTTAACAGTTATGTTTTGGTATGGAATGTTTATGTGTTTGAGCTCAGCTGAGAGTGCTGGCTCAGAGTTTAGCACGTCATGGATTGGTGTCTGTGTGGTTGCATCATACTCATCTGATTCAGATGCTCTGTCTCCTCTGTCGTGCGGGTTGGTCTCTGGCGTGGCTCTGGTCCCCGGGGTGCTCTGTTTTCCCCTTTGAGTCTCTAGCTCCACTGCTTCTACAGGCATCCATGGAAGAGAGTTCATTACCACCAGCACACACCACAATGTCATGTTTTTCATCTTTGTTTTTCAACTCAATACCGCCCTTGGTTTTGCCTGGAACCTTCGTGCAGCGTGACAGGTGATACCACGTCCCGCTCCCTTCGACCTGGACTGCTGTGGGAGTAGCTCACACCACCGTGTACGGTCCTTCCCGTCGTGGTTCGTGCCACTTCCTGCACTGAAGTAGAGTTCACCAGGACCAAAGTGCTCAGGTCTTCTCCTCGTTCTTTTTGCCACCCTCCTCAGAGGACGGTGATGTACACCTGGTGCTCTGGCTCGCCTGGCCTCCACCTCTTGACCGGGATCAGATTTTGGCACTCCTCCTGCTAACCGATAGATCTTTGCATTGTAGTTAGATGCCTCATATATTTAATTCACTAATTTTCAGCTGCTCAAGCGAAAAACTTAATTATTTAGCCGCAGTAAAGCATAGCTTTGTAAGTTAGTCAATCATGCAGTGGAAGATTTATCTCAGTGCTTTTGATTGTGAAAGCTCATAAGCGCAAGTAGCAAAGCATCTTCCTATAGGTTAGTGTTAGTGCAAATTCTCTGATCAGATATTTACTTGAGAGATTAACTTTCTTCCCCAAAATGATGTACCAAATCATGCGATGACAGATTTATTTTGACTCCAAGATCTTTTGATGGTGTTGCTTCTATCCATCGACTGAACCTGTCATCATTACAAACATGTAACATATCCCTTGGCAGTTTTAATCATGTCCACATTGCCTTTAAATAGATGTCTAAAAACGTCTCTCTGGAACTGGAAAAGTGTCCCACTTCCGTTTTATTGTTCTCTTCAATTCATCTAACAAAACGCATATCACAATGACCCAAGAGTTTATCAGCTCTCGTCAGCATATTCTAAGACTGTCGTTTTAATTGTCTCATCATCTCCCCCCTTTCACAGTGTGAATCACTGTGAAAGTCAGATCCTAAGTTTGCTTGTTAATACTACTGGTACAAAAACTAGTTATTTGACTCTAAACCATTTTCAGTGGCCTTATTGACCTTTGATAGCTTCCTATTACTTTTACATTAGGTGGCACATCTGTGAGGAGTGTATGTGGATTCAGCACAGCTGCATTTAGATTTATCAGTATTAAACTAACAGAACAGAAATGTTACAATGTTAATGTCACGATATTTACTTTAAAACTATAAACCATAACTGTCTACTTACACACCTCGCGGTGAGCACCAAATTTGAATGTTACTTCTACATAGGGCTCTTTGGTCTATAAGGTCAACAGGGTTAAAATTAAACCTAACAATTAACTTTTTCCATCATCCACAAAAATCACACTGTAGTAAGCCACCACTTTCACATTGTCTTGGCTGGGGCCCCCCACCACAGATCCAGCCAGAAACGTCCCTGGTCTGGGCAGTTGTCAAAAATGTCCGGTATGATCACATCCCCAGCAGGTCTATAGACGTCACACGTCCGTCAGAATTCCACTCTCTCCCCCTGCCGGGATATATCACCTCTATGGATCAGGGTTCTGTCTGAGGATAAACATTCACAACAGGTGATTAAACAGGTTACTGTCACAGGTTTTACCGCAGTTAGCGTCTGCACGGTCTGCACCGCTGGGTCTCTTTTGCAGTGTCCCCCTTAGAGGTGGCTGTTTCAACTTCCGCTGAATGTTCTCTTCCTGTTCTTTCGGTTTCCGCTCTTCATCTGGCAGCACCCTCCACATCACATCACAATATGCATTGAACTCACTCCCATCTATCATGGGATTCGTCATTCAACCTTGTTTTGCCTTGCGCAGAAACTCCTCCATCGTCTTAGTTCCCAGCAGTTTAGCCAAGAGTGCTTTCATGTCTGGTGTAGTCAACATTTTCCTACAGTTCATCCTCAAAAACTCGTATCCATCTCCCTGCCCCCTGTTCAGTTTGTGGTAGTCTGGCAACCAGCCCAACAAGGTGTGTGGTTTTCCACGGCACATAGCTAGCCTGTGTGCCATTTATTAAGATTGAAAACATACTATCAGTGCATTTCCAAGCGAACATAATCTAGGCCAGGGGTGTCAAGCTCAACCACAGCAAGGGCCATAATCTGGATTTAGGTCTAACCTCAGGGTCAAACAGGATCAAAATTTCACTAAAACTGTCAATTTCCTTTTCAAAACATATGGGGGAAAAAAAAAATAGCAATGATTTTAAATCATTTGGAAATTCAAAAGAGATAAAAATAATAATACTAATAAATAATAATTTTAAAGGCAACCTAAGATAGAAACATTTTAGTTTTTATTCTATTCTTATTTATTAGTTCAAAAGATCAGAGCATGATTTAAAAAGAGAAAAGTAATGCATTTAAAGAGCAAATACACAAGAAGAACGTTAAAATCAGGTTCAAAAAGAAAAGGTCCCAGTATGACTTAAAATCTAAAATTGGACTCTAAAGTATAAAAATGACAAAAGTCTAAGTGCTGAGTTAAACACGTCCGGTCCTTTTAGTTCCATATCTTCTTGTTTTTGCGTGTTTTACTTTTCTTTATGTTTATGGTCTTAGATTCGCTGCTCCAAATCCTCACACACAGCCACATCAGATGCGCCTCCCCTAGGTCATAAAAATTCAAACCCCTTGATTCAATGTTCCCATTTCTCTGTAAGTTTTTGGATATCATTTCAGTGTTCAGTATATTTACACCCTCCCAATGCAGTTGGAGTTAAACTAATCTTCCTTTTCTGGTCATGCTTTTTGTAAAATTTATTGTTCAAATGAGCACACCCATTAAAACTTGATCAGCAGTTCTGTAAAATTCCCCAAAAATACACAGTATAAAGCTTTTGCCTCAACTGCAGTTCTATAGCAATAGTCAGTATTGATATTAACAGCTTCAATAATATTTTAAAAAACACAGTATTTTGGCAAAAACAGCAGATGTATAGAAGCAACTCTTAGATTTGAAGTTTTTTAGAAGTTTTGCACTTGTGGTACCTCATTTCTTTTTTTTCCTTTTTGTATCTTTTATACTTTCACAAACATTTGTTCAGCAGCTTTAACACAGAAAATTTGTTAAGTAGCATAAGACGTGTTCACAACAAAAAACCATCATAATATTTAGCATAAGCTAAAACCTTTATATCAGGAGTGTTCATCATGGTACTGGGAACAGAACCTCTTTCCCAGGAGTATTTAACCTTCTATGTCTCAACTGATAACATGACCGCAATGAGCACAGTATTCACATAAACAGCTATGAAATAAACACAATTGAGGAAAACACAGCAATCTTTGACTAGCATAACACACACACAGGTGCAGAGTCTGGCTGTGAACACTGCCAGAGAACTTAGTTGACACAGAACAAAACAGACACACACAACCATCCAATCAACCCACACACTTCACTTTTTCATCACACAATGGTATACCCTTTCACACGTGTTTGAAGTCAAAGTCAGTCACTGGAGTCAGTCAGCAGTCTTCTATTTTAATTATTGTTTTGATTTCTTCAATTTTTCCAATTTGTGTGAGTTTTTCAATTTATGTGATTCTTCTACAATCGGTCAGGAGATATGGGACGTGCTTGTTCAATTGGGATCCCTGAATAGGCTTTTCGGCCTACCCTTATTGACCTCTTTTTCTATCTCCTGCTCATCAAGCCAATCTGTATCTCTCAGAGCTCATAAAACAAAAAATTGCCCAAACTCACAGTTCAACAACGGACAGACACACTCGTGCCTGCCACTCCCCTTGTTATCCCAAAAATTATCCAGAACCTTTTATCACCAGGCATTCAGCCTAAAAAACACATCACAACCCAGGCCCAGCTGTCTCCCCATGCTACTGGCCAGTGCTTTCCTGCACCCAGCCTATAGCTTCTCACATAGTCTCACGCATGTAGCAGCGTGAGGCGGTCTGACACAACCAACTGATTCGAAGAGGACAGAGAGCAGTAGTCCGCACCACCTCACAGGGAAAAGAACTCTCAACCAAATTTTAGGAAATCTCCTACCTTTTTCTTTTTGTGGCCACAGAGTGTCCTTATCCCATGTGAAGTTCGCAGAACCATGGTCCCTTGTCCCCCGAAACGAATTCTGGCTAAATTATCTCACAGATTTACCCAATGTTTATATATTTGTAAAAAAGTGTTTTAAAATGCACAAAATGTTTATATATTTGTACTGCAGGTATGATAGTTT